TATCAGGAAATACGCTTATGATAAAATTTTGGAAAATGGGCGTGGCACCGCCCACTTATGATCACATTTATGTATATCGGTAACAGTTCTAGCAATTTGTACCAAACTCGGTATGATTATTGTGCTTGCCACATAAAAGCAAACCGTTGAAAATTATTGAAATCGGACTAAAATTACGGCCGCTTTTCATATAACGGTAAATTTCAGAAATGCTTGAAACTTCAATATTTCGAAATTTAAGAACGCTAATTTACTCAAAATGGATACACCCCGGCTTACCATGTAGCGGTAGCTTTCGGAAAGGAGGAAAACATATATTTAATACTTGCGCCGGGTATTTAATGTTCGGCTCCGCCCGAACTTAGACTTTCTTACTTGTTATATATATAGATGGAGAAGCGACCGAAATATTGAGAGCAAAAAAAAAAGCGCGGACAACTACTTGCTCAAAAATATTGGCAAGAGTCACAATTCAACTAGATTTGAAAAATATTTGCCAGATAAATACCGAATGTTCGGTCAAAACTTGGTTAAAATTTGGAAAATATCGCATAGAATCGCATATTTTTAACTGAAAATGCCTACGCTTAAAAATAAATTATTAATAGAAACATCTTACTTGCACTCGACTACAGCGGTAAACTAAATCCAGCTTATTCAAACATAATTGACGACTTAGAACTTGGCATCGAAAATATATAGTAGATTGTAATAAAACATGTACTTTTTTCGCAATAAAAATAGTAAACATAGATATATAATACTCAAATGAAATTATATTCGGTTCTGCATCTTCTAACTTATATAGGGTTGCCAACATTTTCGATGATATTTATAGTACCTTTTCAAAAAAAATCTTAAAAATATAGTACAATTCAGATATATATATTATTTTACTTAAAAGAAAAATTAAAAACGATTTTTAGTCGTTTGGTTTCTGTCATCTCGCCATTTCACATCCATAATAGAAAAATATATTTCTGTTAATGCCGAAACTGCAGAAATAGAGAGTAGAAATGAGATAATTTAAAGTAAATTTGGTACAGTAGAACCCGCTTAAGTACCTCACGAAAAATGTAAGCTTTTTGAGGTACTTAGGCGGGTTGGGTACTTAAAAGAACCCGCTTAAGTACCTCGATGCGGGTACTTAAGCGAACATAATTATTGATGTCTTTAGGGGTGGCTCACAAGCATGAATATGTTCCACTCTCAAACCA